GATTATTTTTATAATTTTAAAATTTGATTTAAGGTAAAGTCGGGGCCACTAGGTTGGACAGTTAATCCAGGTTAATCTAAAAATATAAAAATCTTAAAATGATATTATTTAAAAAAAATCAATAATTTTCTACTTAATTTTACTCTAGATTGATTGAATTGTAAATCAATGTTTTTTTCATCAAGTCAAGTTAAATCAATTCTTCCGCAATTTTTTTTTTTTAACTCAGAACAATATAGATCTTAATCCAGTTATGCGTCTCTAATTAACTAGTTAGGCCGCTTCAGGTTTTATATAAATAATTATTAAAATATTATTAATTTTAATAGATAAATTAAAATTAAAATTAAAATATTTAAATTTTAAAACATGTAAATTTAATAATATATATTAAAAATATTTTATTTTATTTTATTTTATCTACCATCAAGTAAATAAATAAAATATAAGATAGTCAATTTTTTGTGGGAACTACTATCACATATATTTTTGTTTTTATCTCTTATTTTCTTCCTATTTTTTATTGTTTTTATTTTCTCAATCCCGAAACAGTAAGGAAATACTAGAAGTCAAATCAACTAGCCCATCCTAACATCCTTTCACTTATCAAAGAATAAAAGAGGCAGAGAGAAACATTTGATTTTTATTGAGTACCTCTCTTTTTCATGTGATTTTAATATGATGGGCAGAAACATGGGAGGAAAAAAAGAAAAAGAAAAAGAAGAGTAGATATGTCCTTGAAAAGATCAAGTTGCCGGAATATAAACGGACACATCAAAACAAATATCATAAAAGCTTATTTTTAGGTATTTTTAAAATAAATATAATATTATATAATTTAATTAAGATCTATAATGCGCTAATGGTATTGTTTAATTTATTAATATCTTCTAAAGATTGTTCCTTGTTTTAAATGAATTATTAGGATTTATTTGAAAATATAGTTGTAATTGTTTTTTAAAATATTTTTCATGTGAAAATATATTAAAATAATATTTTTTTTATTTTTTAAAAATTATTTTTGAGATCAGTATATTAAAATGATTCAAAACATATAAAAAAAATTAATTTTTTAAATCATAAGCATCATTTCTCCTTCTTTTTTAAGTAAAATCACGTTTACTTTCAAAAATCGAGCAATGAAGTATTAAAATTTTTTACCACACTTATTTGATGTTCTTAATTAATTTCTTTTGAAACAAAGTAAGCAGAAACTAAACATACCGGACCCGAGGTAAAACACGCTTTTTGTTTAAACTAAGAAGAGAAGTGAAAATTAGTCATAATTATGCCTATAAGTTAATCATTCACCAAAGTTAAGTCACGAGCTGTCAAACCAATTTTATTTTATAAACTAACTAGGATCGAGTTCCAACTCAGCAGGTCATCAAATTAACTCGTAAAATTATACTGAGTTTCCAAGACTTTTATGCAATTGCATTAAATAATGAGATTATCCCAAATCAACATTTTCTTATTTCAGTATTCAAAACCATCATTTGAATCCCTCTTGAGTAGAATTATTATTCATCCTTGCTCTATTGAAAATTGCTTTTTAACTTGTATCATTGTCTTTCCAATTGAGAATTATACAAATTAGAGGGAGTGAGGAATTGGTTTTATTATTATTATTATTTTGCGTTTCAAATACATTTTAAAAGAATTTAAAATCTTTTTATTTTTTACCTCTTGGTTTTTTTATTATTATTATTATTATTATGCGTTTCAAATACATTTTAGAAGAATTTAAAATCTTTTTATTTTTTACCTCAAATTAATTTTTTTCAGTATTTTCGAATTATTTTGATATGTTAATATTAAAAATATTTTAAAAAATAAAAGATATTATTTTATATATTTTCAAATAGAAAACACATCTATAAAATTGTATTCCGTACACTACCGTGTTTCTTCTTAGAGCAACAGGAAATGAACAGAACGAGATCTCTATAGGACTTTGTTCTCCGCTCTTAGTTTTCTTAATTTACATTTCAAGATATTTTTGAAACTCTTCCATGGTAGATATCTTGTAAATTCTTTTAGCTTCAGATTTCCTGCGAGTAAAAACCTCCCCTGGAAAACGTGGACAGTTTCACTCATGAACTTTTACTACGGAGGTCAAATCTACATATGGAAGCACAGCTGCGAGTTGGAGGCTTGGAGCAGAGTTACAATGACCAGTTGTGAAACGCGGACCACCGCAGCATCTTTATTTCAGCAAGCAAGAAAATCCTCACTTGCATTGCCGTCAGCGCCACCGAGTCTGAGGAATACGATTGTTTTGGGCCGAAGTGCATATTCCCAGTGAAATCAATCGATTGCTATACATGTATGGGAATTGTTAACACATCCACAACATTTCTCCGTCCAAAAGGATTTTCCCAAGTGCAGCAAGTCAAAGCTGCTTGGTCCATACATGCCAAACTCCTTTGATCAACCAAAATTTCTGTTTGTTTCTTGGCCTTATCCAGCAATTGTAGATGGCGACAGATTCTCTAGCTCCCTTGCAAAAAAGGGAAAGAGAAGTCATCAATTCCATAAACAATTTGCAGGATTAGATAGGGTCGCATCGTATGATATCACAATGGCACACTGGTCAGTACTTCCCATAATCAATCACTGTTTTTCTAAGATTATCGGGAAAAAAGGATGGAGCGAAAGAAGATACTGATACCGGGCAGCAGTGTGCATTGGGAACATGAGGCGTCTGAGATGTAGTATCTGTTTAGGCAAAATCTGGAAGTTTTTCGGTTTGTTCTGCCCAGCATCAAACAATGACAATAGCTCCATTCCCAAAATTTAGAGAATTGCTGGGGGGCAGCAGCAGATGTCTCATCTAGATTAAAGATAGGTCTTGTGAATTGTGAATACAGCAAAACAGAAACATCCAGTTAACAATGTGGAGCAGGAATAACAACCGTGCATTACCTTGTCCCAAAGATTGATTCATTAGACACCCTAATCAAAGGTCAGCATACCAGTCATCTAAATTCATAGACAAATATATGAAGGTCTCCAGGATTCAAGTAACGATAACCTCATACTTGTAAGGAAAGATCTTTGCATGCTCCGCAGCATACAGAGCTAGAAGCAGACAGAAGTGAAGAGCGAGAAAAGGAGGCAGAAGAAAAGCAACTGTTTCATCTACTTCGTTAAACATGGAGAGAAAAGATCTAGGCATCTCTTGGTTGGTAAAAAAAGAAAAAAAGGAGAGAGAATGTCCACGTCATCCATGCCTTCTTAAATCTTCCATTCCACATAATCTAGAAAGAAATCGACAGGTCCTCTATAGATGTCCATCCAATGAAACAATCTACAACACGTCTATCCCATTCCTTCTTATTCATTATTCATCCATCCTCCTCAGCGTATAATTGAAGTCTTAATTTTCTAGCGTTAAGCTATCAAAGAAGGATCATCCACCTCTTCTTTAGAACAGTAGGTTAGATTGCGAGGTCCCGGCTAAAGCACTAGCCAGATTTTTAAAATTTACCATATCTTCACGAGGAAAAGAATAATATATTATTCATAGTAAACATTTAGCTCAATAAATATCTTTTAGAAAAAAACAAGGGTTTATGAAGAACACAATTAAAGTCAGGTACACTTGAAACAAATCAGACACTGTATACACGTTGAAAAAAATGATGAAAGAAATGAAAGAGGCAAATTGTAATAGCATGCACCCAAAAATATCCGACAATCTCACCTAAAGTATAAACGAGTGAGAACAACAGGATAAAATTAGAATCTTAAGCATGCAATAGCTCCTTTGTTTTTTTGTTCTTGCGACAATCTTCACTACTTTACAACAAACATACACCAACAAGAAACTTTCAGATATGCAGATTATATTTTCCTATATGCAATGTGTTTTACTTATTAAACATAATAATGCAGCCCTAACTTGGGATTACACTTGAGAACCCATCCCATTCTAAAAAGTTTCTGCCAAGGGTTAATCTAATGCAAGGCCCTTTAGCAACGCCTACTTCATAAAAGGCTACAACCTCAAGGGGGGCAACAGAAGGAGACCAAAAGAATCAACATGCCAGCCGACCTAAGCTTTAATGATGATACAAGTTGTCTAACAGGAAGATCAGATGCCAAGCATTCTATGACAATCTAGGGACCAAAAGACAAAAATCATTGAAATCCCAAATTGAGATCTCACTTGCCACTGATCCACTGTCAAAGCTCAGAAGAAAAACCATATTTTTAATTAGAAGGCTAAAGAAAGCTGGTTGTGCAAACACGATACCCCTAAATTCAATAGAGTGCACACTTGTATACAGTGAAAATTGAGTTTCTCATGAAATGCCAAATTTTCAAGGGGAAAAAAATGAAAATCATTGCCAATATCTACTTAAAAGAGAATAGGAAAGAAAAACTTCCAGCAGCAAACCTTAAGGTTGAAGAGTTCAGATTAGATAACCTGGATCTCATACAACCCAGCTGGTAAGTAACTCAACCTTCCACTTTCCAAACCTCGAATTAGTAACAATACTGAAATCAACAGCCATGTACACTTCTGTTTTTATGGTGGGCAGTTTTCCCAACATGAACAGTGCCAAGTACCAGTTTTTTCCAAAGCATCTTTTTGATGCTTTTCCCATACAGTGGGAAAACAGAACACACATTAATTTACAAGACAAGCTGCATACTCGTCCAGGACTCCAAAGTATGAACTCCCTACATTCAAGGAAAACTCAAATAGACAACAAATTTGTTGTGCCCTAATAAATAGTTCTCACTTGAATTTCAACAGCCAGCATGGTTTCAGGAAATGTCCGCGTAACATGCAGAACAATAAAATTTGGTATCATGCAAATTATAATATCTAGGAAAAGAAAAACATTACAAAACTACAGGTGGCCCTTATAAGCAAACCAAGTCAAACACATCAGCCATGAATCAAGCTTGTAAAGAGTAATGAGTTTGATAAATGCATTCAGAAGTGTTTTTGGGCTGACAAAGCATCAAATTGATGTTTTTTTTTATGAAAAACATCAAAATAACCCAAGAAAGCATCAAGTTGACGCTTTTTTCAGACTGAAAGCACTTAACAAATGCTCCTTCAATATCAATAACAACCCCACAGTGGGCTAGGTACTTTTTTTTGTGAACCAAAATGATTTTCTTAATGGTGGTTATTTTGCTCACGAGCATCACTCTAAACAGCTTTAGCCAATAATTGATGAAATAAATCTTGAATTGATAATTCTCAGCAAATAAGGCATCCCAACAACAACAAAAACATTTCTGGTTAATAAAAATGGAACTAGGTTTACTAGTGTAAAACAGTTGCAAACAAATATCAAATCAGAAGCAGTTATAGATGGGAAGAAACAACTCCAGTTAATTAAGAATAAACCGAAAAATCATTATTATTATTATGAAAATCAACAGGTAGGACATGATGAAAGGTTAAACAAAACATGTGCAATAAACAATGTAATCAGTAACTAACTCAGTCTTGGACATAATGGCCCAAGAATTGAAGTTAATACAATATCATCACGGACCTCCAGTTCCTCTCTCTCTCTGTTGTTTTTTTTTTTTAATTATTTGTGGTGGGATGCTATAAGACCACTAGATATCCATTCTAGACCCTCATTTGACTCCTCCTGTTAAATGGGAAAAGTATAAATGAATTGACAGAAAATTGAAAGGACCAACACCATCCATGAAAGAGGAGGTAGATAAAGCAATGAGGAAGAACTTAGCTGTTGGGGTTTAAGTTACTATCCACTTTAGTTAAATAAACTGTCACCGAATACAAAACAACAACAATGCGAGCAAATGAAGAAACAAACACTCATCCAATCAGACTATTAGAGGCAAAAGACAGCGGGCAAGAAATCATTTTCTGCAAACATTCTACATATTCACAACAAACTACACCTGACTGATTAACCAAAGAGACTTTCCAGTGTGACAGATAAGACTTTGCACCCTACAAGGTCTTCTATTGGAAAATCAGTAGGAATATGGCATAGGGTTACTTGTATCATACCAACGAGACCTAGAACGGCTAATGGCATTGACTGCAGACCCAAAAAGTCTTCGATCACTATCATTACTGTTGCCATTGGAATTTGAACCATATCCATTAGAAAGGTTTGTTACACCAGGAGGAGCTAGCAGTGAAGAAAGATAAAAACTTGCTCAGCAAATAACGAAAGAAACAATAACAACAAGCTTTCACATGAGACAATAGAAGACAGAAAAATAAAGTAAGCCACATTACCTAGAGAATCATTTGCAGGGTAAGCTGAAACCCTGCTAGGTGCCGACCTCATGGAATGATTAGGGATTTCTAAATTATTAATCGGTACAGGGTGAGATGGCCTTTGTCTGCTAGAAGAATTGGGAAGAGGCACAACCCCATTGAAATTATTTTGAGCAAGTTTATCCTGTCCAGATATCTGTTCAATAAAATCACCATATATCAATAACCAAACCCCAAAATAACATAAGCAGGCAGGCCAGGGCTCCATCCTCCATGAGGTTGATAGATAAATAGTATAACTTTCAATATTCTCAAACCCCATCATCTTTTCTTCAAAAAATCTCAACAATTACAATCACATGAAGAGAAGAATAATAATTAAACACATAGAAATGGTGATCAGCAAGACAAGATTTTGGTCTATAACTTGAGGAAGACAAGGAAGAAGGAAAAGGAAGACAAGTACACACCGCGAATTTCAAGGTGCGATTGTAGAGAGTGACAAGGCCGGAGAATAGCTTGACAGCATAATCGGCAATTTCTTCAGTTTCGTATTCGGCAAAAGCATAGCCTTTGGGCTTATCAGTTTCTCTATCTCGAGGAATGTGTAAATCCACGACACGGCCTGCTTGAATTAGAATGTCATACAAAACCCTGTCGCTAACTCTCTCGTCTAAATTACCTGTACAAATAGTAATTAAGGATTTAATTAAGACACCGTCCAATGGCTTATCACATGATTGAAGCAACAATAGTAGAGAACTCACCGATGTAAATGCTGCAGCTCGAGGGACCAGACATGGCGCTCTCTTCTCCTTGTTGTGGTTTTGGATCTGAGCAAGATATCTTTTCCTTCTCCTGGGGTGGCTCTAGCCGCGTTATTTTATTTTATTTTTTTGTAATACGAAGACAACATTGTCCTTCTATCTTTTATTTTATTTATCTTACTTAACCCTTAAATTGCCTTCAGATTTTACCAATAAATTAACCATAGTCTCCAATATTATTTATTTATTTATTTATTTAGTATTACAGTTTAACTGTATTTCAAAAAAATTAATTTCTTTTATTTTAGATTAATATTTTGGATTTTTTAAATTTTTTAACATATCAATATTAAAAATAAATTTTAAAAAATAAAAATATATATATTTTAAAACATTTCTAAATAAAAAATATTTTAAAAAATATTTTTTATTATATTTTTAAATAGATAAAAAAACATAAAGAAACAGCTTATTTGACCAAATCTAGTGAAGGGGCAAACTTTATTATTACTAGGATATTTAACCCTTCTTTTACTTACAAAAAAAAAACAAAAGGAAAGAGTAACTAGTTGACCATGCTTGGCTACAAATCAGATGAGTTCTTCTTAACATTAAAAAAAAAAAAAAAAGTATAGGTGTTGTCATCGCATTTTTCTAGCATCAACGAAACTTTTAACTTTTATGTAAAAACATGTGTGCAAATTTAATAAACACAAATCTAGAATTATATATATTAAAAAATATTCAAAAAATTATTGATGCAAATTGATATTAAGTTGGGAGGTTGAAAAATAAATGTAAATTAAAATATTTCATTTCGTTTTAAAAGAAGCTCTTTAAGTTTTTTTATTTAATTATATAATAATAAATTTATATTTTGTAAAAAAAGTAATAACTTAAATTCAATTTAAACAAAATGATTTGCTACTAAGATTCCTCCTTCCCTAATTTTTTCCTATAGAGAATATAACTTTTTTGTTTTGTTTTATTTTTTTTATTTAATTAAAAAAATCATAATAAATAAAAAAATTAAATGATTTGAAATAAGAGTAAAAAAACATCTCTCTGATTAAGAAAGAAAAGCATCTCTCTAATTACAAACCTATTTATTTTTGTGTTTTAAAACTGCTTTAAAAAAATTATTTTATTTTTTAAAATTATTTTTTTTATTTTCTTCAAATTATTTTGATATGTTAATATCAAAACTAAATTTTAAAAAATAAAAAATATATTATTTTAATATATTTTTAAATAAAAAATATTTTAAAAAACATCTTTTACCATTATATCAAACGGGTGATAAAACCATTTTATCTTACCAACACATTATATTTTTACTAGGTATTTTTAGATAAAATATTTTTTTTAGACAAATTAGATAATTTTAATGAAAATATATAAAAAAATTAAAATGTATACTATTTATAGGTTTGCCCATTAAAGAAATTTTTTTGACAATGTCACCAAGGTCCAAATGTGACCTGGTTAAGATGCTTTCAAGATAATTTTATTTTAATTATTTTTTTTATATATTAAGATAATAATATTTTAGATTAATTTGAATCAATTTGAATTGGCTCATCAAAATCACAATCTAAGTTATAAATCCAGTTAAGTTTAATATATTTTTTTAATCTATTTTTTATAGTTGGACAACAATAAAAATTGACATGCGTATAAAAGCCACCAAATAAATATTTTAAAAAAAATATTATCATGAAAAGTTATAAAAAAGAAGTGTGTGCTTATGTTATAACCTTACTTTAAAAAAACCAATATAAACATTTAGGTGGAATGAGTTACTTATATTTTCCATGGCTAAGATTATGATTATAGTTGTGCTACAATAAAATATTTAATAATATATATAATAAATACTAGTTTGAAGAGGCTAAAAAACCATTTTTTTTATTAACTATCACGTACCTTAACATAATATATATATAAAAAAAAAAACTTTAACACAATGTTTTTTATTAAAAAAACAGAAATTAATGGTTATCAAACATACTTTAACTCTATTTCTTAAATTTCACTTTGCTCAGTATAATGTAAACTTAACAGCATTCTATATCATAATTTAAAATCATAAATAAATTCAATTCATCAATAAAAAAAAGGTTTTTGTGTAAAACTCATACAGGATTTAAATATGATTTTCAAACTAAAAAAATAGATTTAGGTTTAGGTTTAATGAATTTTTTAAAGAATTAAAAATAAAAACATAACTATAAACAAAGATAATTTTGAGTTTATCATATGCGTTATCTGATGATCGAATAAAAATTACAGAGTTACAAACTTTTCTAGCCTCTTTCTCTTCTCTTTTTCAACTTAGTTTTCCTTTTCTTTTGTAATCTCTAGAAAGTTACATATAAATAATAAATTCTAAAACAACCAACTATTGAGCTTAGCCCACTAAATAAATTTGTTCAAAATAAATAAAGTCTAATTAATAAAAATCAACAAAAACTTCAAATAAAAAAACCAAAAAAGTAAGTTAAACCATAATTTTTTAATAGGTTGAGTTACTCTTCAATGTTTATAAACATACGAATGCATAAACTATGTCTTAGGTTTGATGTTTTAATTGCCTCTTTTAAGGTTAGAGACACTCAACTCCATCAAGCGTGGTTCAAAGAGGCTTTGATGATTCTCCCAATGATAATGATCAAACTATTGTGATATCTTTTTAATAATCCAAATATAATTTAAATCTGACCGTCTATCTCATAAAGTAGAACTTGTTAAATTTTATCATCATTGATAAAAACAATTTGTGTATCTAAAATAGTATTAATATGTTTTATTTTAGCCAATGATAAGGATAATAAGATAAGGGTATCAAAAGGATCGTCATAGATATAATGTTGCAATTTATATATAATTAAGTCTTTTGTATTATAAGTAGAGGTAATACGAAAGTCTAATAGTAGTTTAATGACATTAGTATTTGACTCAGCCATTTGTAATACTTTATATGATATAACATTACTTGCATGTTATAAATCCTTTCATAAATGCAAGATCAAAAGTAATGAGATCTCAATAAATAATGAAAACTAGAAATGAAACTAAATGGATAAATGATGAAAATAATAATAAATGTGAGAATGGATAGTTCATAGACGAGATAAAAGAAACTAAAATATCTTTTAAAAAAAAGAGGAGAACAAGATTTGATTGGAAAACATTATATGAAATATTATGTTAAATGGATTTTTTCTATGGATAAGGCAAAAGGATAAGAAGTCATGTATTAATTGATACATATATACTTACAAATATGTACAAGTTAGGATCAATATGAAATGAACAAGATATCGGTAGAATTGGGTAGGAAGAAAAAAAAAGCCTTATAACCGAGAAATAATATAAGTAATTATGATTAGATGAAAATGAATAAAGAAATAACTAAGAAAATCCAGGTTAGTGTTAAGTATAGAAAAAAATTAAATTTAAAGGGTGAATTTTTTAAAAATAAGGAAGAATATAATCCCTTGCATAATAGCTAGGATGCTTAAGTCATGTTTGGTTGGGGTGACTTTGCAGAAAATATGGTTGCATAAGAGTTATTAACTTGTGACATATCTAGGAAATAAAATTTTTCTTTTCTTCTTCTTAATCTAGATTACTATCAATGACGAAGATGGTGTTTCTCTATAATTTCTAGAGTTTAGAAATTATATTGAGTTTGAACAAGTCCATAGATTGTTTAACTATAAAATTATTTAAAAGCATTGTTCTGATATCAAAATTGATGTAGGATAAAAGAGATTTAAGAAAAAAAAATATTAGACAAAAAAGAAAAAGATAAATGATTTCAAAAAATTTGCAACTCTTTAATTTTTATTCAAATCATAGTAATTTGAACATAATATCTATAAAGTTACATGTAAATAATAAATTCTAAAACAACTAACTATTAGATACAACCTAAAAAAAAACTATCCAACATAAATAAAGTTTAATAAATAAAAATGAATTAAAAGTTCTAAAAAATTAAACATAAAAATATAAGTTAAAGTTTAATATCTCAAAAGGTTGTGTTACATTTTATCATTTATGATAATATAAGTGTGTAAATTGTGTTGAAGATATGGTATTTCTACCATGCCTTATCTTTTTTCTTTGTTTTTAAAGAAAGAAAACTTTTAAAAACCCATTCTAAATAATATTTTTTAACAATCATGAAAAGCATTAAAGAAAGAGAAATAAATAAAAAGATATTTTACTTTAATAAAAAGAATAATTATGAAAGTAGACAAAATAGAAAATAAACAAAAAAACATGGTTTTGGTATATTAAACAACCTAGTTAGTGTGTTTGGTATTGTAATATAATATACTTTTAAAAAATATTTTTTATTTAAAAATATATTTTTTATTTTTTAATTTTTATTATTAATATACCAAAATAGTTAAAAAATAAAAAAAATATTTATTTAATATTTTTTTATGGAAAAATACACTTTTAAAAAACACTTGAAAATAAAGTTACCACACTCGGTTATTACTGTTCCTCGCTCTTTCTCTCGCAAATCCAATCTATGAATAAAAATCCAATCTATGAATAAAAGATGTCTTAGTGATTTGTGTGTTATTGATGGAATGATTATTTTTTAAAATATTTTTATTTAAAAATATATTGAAATAATATTTTTTTTATTTTTTAAATTTTATTTTTAACAACATAAAATTAAAATAATATAAAAATTTTAAAAATCTAATTTAAAATGAAGAGTAAATAAAATAAAATTTAATTTTTTTAAAAATATTTTTAAAATGTGAAAACAAATAAATTATTTTTGAGCTGATAACGTCCATCTACACGTGTCAAAAAGATACAAGCACAACGATGTCGACGCAATATTTCGATGTGCGAGCTAATGGCGTCATGACAGCTCATTTTTCACTTTCTTTTAGACACGCCAAGAATCCACGCACGGCACCCTAGAGTCTATCTGTCAACCAGGTGGTTTAGAGGAGCCAAGATCGCCTCACAATGCTGTGAGCTGTAATGCCTACGTGGTTTTACTTTATTGGTCCACGAGTGAAATGATACCTAATGCTTACAGATTTCTTCGTCTGGACACGGGCTACACTTTACACGATGTAGCACGTAAATTGTTTTGGC